ATGAAGGCGCACTTTGCAGCCACTTCAGTCCATGTATGATCTCACTTTACCCACCCCAGACCAATGACCGGCACAAGTCAGATAGACCATGACACCGGGTTCTACGTCCCCTACTCTTTTCGAACAGTGACATGCGTTCTTTAACGTCCCACAAAAACCAGATCAGTGAAGTGCTGTGAGACGGGGCCTACAGTTTATCGTCCTTATCCGAGAAGACTTGAATGTCTAACCATTTTTAGGTGTAATTACAAAGGCAGCACATTCTCCTCAGTTATTTTAAGACCCTGAGTGTTGGTCCGGTCTGGGACTCGAACCTTCGACCTCCCGCACAACAGTCCGGCGCTCTCCCAATTGAGCTAACCAGAACGACAAAACACTAGCGCGCCCCGTCAACCGTGGAAGCCCAAAAAATTCATTTGATAGTCGAAATATACGAGTGATTTACTTTATATTTCTCTCGGTGTTTTCTGCAAAACTATCAGGAACATTTACGGTAAGAGTTTTAGAAAAATTGAAAAAGCTGTGGAAATACTCTCCTGTGGCTCATGTTCCCACGAAATTTCTCGTTCGCCAAAGACTTCGATCAATTTTCCATAATACGATAAAGAATAGTAAAACCTTTCGTGTTTTCAAGAGGTGATTCATTTAACTCAAGGGCCACATTATCCATAGGAGCCCTGGTCCTTAAATCGAGATAACAAAAAAACAACAACAACTATTAACTATAATTTCTATTCTTTATTGTACTTGACATCAATAATTACATTGTTTACCATTTCAGAAAATCTTGAATGAACAAAAGAATGTATCCTTCATACAAACTCCTTCTATTTCCTATCTCGGAGACGAATGCACGCAGACTATTAATCGTAATCATGGTATCTAAATAAAACGAACAGCAATACTCTTCATGTTTTTGCAGAATGTTTGCTGACAGCCAAAAAACCCCTTGTGCTCACAAACATTTGGTAATTCCAACCTACACTGCGCTCTTTTCGCGTTCGCTCTATATGGAAAAACAGGGACTGCTCGCAGTCTACACTCATAATTGTTTCACTTTTATATACGAATGGCGGCAGTCCATTTCTAAACTTTAAAACTTAGTAGTTCACATGGCTAAAGTTCTCCTTTGCAAAAACAAGTCAATGAAAACGTGTATGCAAAGCTATAATACGGGAGAACAAAAGGTGTGCTGCTAGAATCAGCTTCAATCATTTTAAACGTAGGGAAAGGACTTCGACTTCAGTGGTGTTCCGGGCGGGAGGCGGCAGCCGCGGCAGCAGCGGCCAAAGCAGCGGAATTGAGTTGTGCCTTGGACTTCTTACAGCAGCCGCAACAGCACGGGCAATGGTGGCAACAGTGGCAGCAGTGGCAACAGGGGCAGCAGCACTCGTGGCAACAGCAGCAGCATGGCTCACAGCAGTGGCAACAACAGCAAGGCTCGCAGCAGCAATGGCAGCAGCAGTCGTGGCAGCAATCGTGACAGCAGTCACAGCAACAGTCGTGGCAGCAGTCGCAGCAGCAATCATGACAGCAATCGTGACAGCAATCACAGCAGCATTTCTTACTGGAATTGACTTTTTTCCCGATGCCGTGCTGGGCTGATAAACCAGCCACAGGTTGCACAGCACCAGAGACAGCAGCGCCTGGTTTTGGAATTGCCTGTTTGGCTTCACCTGCTTTGCTTTTACAATTGCATTTCTTCTCGCCTTCAGTTGGTTTAATACTTTTGCATTTCTTTCCTTCATCTCCTTGGGACTTGCATGAACATTTGTTCGGCTGATCGTTGTCTTTACATCCCTTGTTCTCTTTGCATGGAGTGCTGCATTGGCTGCTACATTTTTCAGTGCATTTAGATTTCTTTGTCGCCTCTTTGCATTGCTTTTTAGTCGTTTTGTCGCAAACGCAGGGATCTTTAACTTTTTGTTCTAAAACAAAAGAAAAGTATTCTCATAAGTTTTGTGTGGGTGTGTCGTATAGTTAGCATGAATCCATACGTGCTTACTTTTAAATTATCACGGTACATAAAGGTAAAGCTTGCATACGAACCAAGAGACCTATCAGGCCGACGCTCATCTCCGGTTTCTGTAACATAAAGCGACTTGGAGGATTTCTCCTCCCTCTAGATGGGATGCTAGCCCATTGCAGAGTTACCGGAAGCGATAAATTCGCTGGTACCCATTTATACGTATACACTTAGAAGGAGAGAGCCACTGTGAGAGTAACCTGTCTCGCCCAAGAACACAACGCAGTTAACCTGGCCAGGGCTCGAACCCGAACCGCTCGTGAGTACAATGAGACCAGCTCCCAGTTGGCCCTATCAGTTGGTAGAACACTGCACCGGTATCAAGGCTGAATCTTTCTCATGATCATTTGATGTCTTCACGTCTTTCTCCGCAGTTCAAATAAATGATCTTTCATACATTGACTTGGAACTAGCTTGCAACTGAGGCTAATGCGTGGAGTCTTGTCAAATGCAAATGGAATTAATGTACTGCATGAGCCTCCTTTGCAAGCTAGTTTCAGTTCAATACCGAATACTTTCTTTCTTAAAACTGATGTGAATATGAGCAAGGAATGATGATGTTTTTCTTAGGGTATTCAACGATCCCGGAAGTGTTAGTAAATAGAGGTGAAGTATACGTTCGAGCCTAGTGGCCTATCAGCCAGCCCTTATTTCTAGTTCCTTAGTATGAGGTGACTAAGAGTCTTTCTACTCCCCCCTGGATTGGGTGCTAATCCATCGCGGGTTTACTCCCCTCCCCCACCATTATGATCACCGATACCCATATTACATCTGGGTGAGAAGAGGTACTGTGAGAGTAAAGTGTCTAGCCTAAGAATGAACCCAGCAGGGCTGAAACCCGGAGCACTTGATCCAGAGTCAACCGCACCTCATACACGGAAGTGCTAGCAATTTTCCATAATGACGCTGTACAGTTTGCTTACCATTTTCGGATTCACTCTCCTCGTTTGGTGATTCTGAGTCTATAACCATCTTGCTATTCTTCTCTTCCTCTAGCCCTTCTTTGGGTTTGATGTTTTTGCTTTCATCTGCAAAGTAGCAAAGATCAAATACGTCGCACTATACCGTACAGATCCAAGTTGTCCGCCATAGGGTTGGAGACAATAAACCAATATATGACAAATTTACCATTAAATATAATTGTTCAAGAGGTTATTATAAAATATGCACTGATGAAAGTTATTTTCGGTCAACAATTTAGTACTGGTTTTTCCTTATAAATAATCAGCTTAATTTCTCTTTTACACCCAAAATTGTTGATACAGTTTAAGCTTACTGAAACCACCTTATCTGCGAGAGTTTTTTCGAAGTCTTTAGTGTCGTTTGTTATTTTTTGCAGGTTCGAGGGCAGATAATTTTTTTGAGGTGTTTAAATACGAAAGCAAATCACCAACCGTTTGCGGATTCGCTTTCTTCATTCGTGGGTTCTGATTCGGTCATCTTATTGTGTTTCTCTTCTTCCAACTCCTCCTTTGGTTTAATCTCGAGTTCGGCTGAAAACCAAGAAAATAGGATCTCATCGACCGCCTCATAGCATTAAAATGTATTAAAAGGTCAACGATACCATTTTCTTTGCTTATGGATTTTCCTTCCACTAACGCCAAAGCACCAAGTGCGATGCAAAGAACGGTAACCAGTTTCACACGCATACTGCTAGATCAAATGAAACAAACTGCGACCGACCACTTAAAGACAAAACGCTAATAGTAAGTGTTTGATATCCAAGGAAAATGAGAAAGTATTACATCACAGAGAGGCGGCGTTGGACATATGGTTCAGAGCACGCATATGTCATTTTACTACTGGTAAACTATCCCCCTTGTTGAGTGCTCGGATAAATCACGCCTATATACTCACATGCTATTGGTTGACAAGGACGATACCTGATGATCACTCGAGCACCACTTACCTTACAGCATGAAGGTCTTTTAGCTCACCAAGTTTCAACTTTACTTAATTATTTACGCGTAAAAGAACTGCTGAACCAATTGTAAAATATATTTGAGCGCGAATGCTGCCTTCCACTCGGCGATGCTTGCATTTGAATTACCTACAGTTTACAGAAAGTATCTGAACTTTGTTAAATGAAGATGCGCTTGCCGGTACTGCTTAGAGTACAAATGTGGAGGAAGTTGCTGATAATCAAGACATGGACAAATTGAGGAGAAAAGTGTTCTTTGTAGGCGATCAAATGATATATTTTTTAAAATTATCATAGAACTTTAAAAAGACTGGCCTGCTTTGTTGTGTTTGATTGATTGATTTATCAAATCGCACATAAGAAAGCTCGGTAGAGAAAACTTGAAATTTAAATTGAATTGCATGTTAACAGCTTTTTTAGATTTTCCAAGCATATTGGGAAGGTTTTAACAGAGAGAGCAAATGAAACAATATATTTGTTTTTTTGAGTTCTGTTTTATTAACCAAAATATTGCCTGATAAACTACCTTTTAAAAGTAAAAAGCATCATAGCCTAAAATATTTCTACTCACTTCTAAAAAGATGTAAAGTAGTGAGCAAAAAGGTTCCCCTTCAGTGATCTTAGAAACAATCTTGAGACGATTAAAAACACAAAGAAAACACTTGTGGTTGCTTCAGTTAATTACTTTTCTAGTGCAATTAAATTTAAAAAGGCTAGCGTAAAACGGAGCAGGCATAAACTAAAAACACCACTACCCATTTCGACGTTTTTTTTTTTTTCTCGTGGCTTAACTTAGTAGAAAAACATTTTAAGCTAAAAGTCCTAAGTCCTTATTGAAAAGGTTTGAAAGGGCGTGGTGTTAGAACGATTAATATTTACACCTCCAGCTCCCCTGCAACTCCTCCTAAAAGCGGCATTCAATTGTCTTCGGTGATGCATGAAGAAAATTAGAAAATAAAACTACATGTACTTAAT